CACAATGAGTGAAAATTCAACACTAAATACTGTGTGGGTTGAAACTGTATTTAAGAACACAGCAACCTAGAAAATAGGGGTGCCAAAATCAATCCGCACCAAAGGGTAATAAATTGCACTTTCTGTATGTAGTCTTTCTGTCCTGTATGCTAAAATGTTCTGTTAAATGATTTCAAAGGCCAATTTTGGTCTCCAATTTGTTCACTATTTCACAAATATTCTTGCAATGCCATAGGAGTACAGAAAGTTAGGAAGCCAGGGACTTGTTCATCAAGTTTAATTGTCCCACAATGCTCCAAATGACATACAACAGAGCTATCTAAATGTCCAAAATTTTCAAGACCAGGATGCCACTACCCCAGGTACCTCCCAACAGGGATACCCCTCTGACCTGAATATTGTTCAAAAATGACAATCAGTGCCACCTTTGGGCTCCTTCACTTCAAAATTTATTCACTTGACCATCTGTAGTCCAGGATTAATAAGAATTTAAGTTCTCAAGCACCACTTCAGTGCACATAACATTAGCTAGTGAGATCTTAAAACTATATAAAATAACAAATAACTCCACCTGCATTGCTTGTGATTGTCACCTCACAAAACAAGCACAAATGCAATCATAATAAAGTTAACTCACCTGATTTGTATTATCACTGACTTCTGAAGCAATTGTCTTGCATGTCCCTACAATTCCTGAAGTGAATCACAAAAAGATCATCTAAGTTTAAAGAAAAATGTATTAACATTCAATGTTCTTCAACTAACAAGTCTATTATCCAAGTCAAAAATTTTTTCCACCCAACCCTCAGCCCTTTAATATAATCTTCAAAGTCCCAGGCTTTTCACCTCAGTTTCCTGCCACTTTTCCTTATAGTTACATAACCTTAATATCAATTAGTAATGCCACTAAAATGATCATCACTGTAAAGTACGAATAATGTGCAATAACCACACTTACCAGCAGATAGTCCAACAAATAGTCTGGTAATGATGGCCATGTAGAGAGAGAAAGACAGACCAAAGCAAACCATGCCAACCAGGGTCATTGTAAGGCAGATCATCATCACAGGCCTTCTTCCAAATCTATCAGTCATTAATCCCCAAAAATAACTGAAAGGGAGCAAGTAAATTTTGGTTAGAAATGTTTGCTGGTCCATAGCTGCTGTGCCTTGTACATCAACACTCTCAAAAATAAAATCAATGTACACCACTGCAATTGATGTGTCTTGTTTTAAAGTTTCTTTATTCATTAAGTTTAGAATAGAATCTTTAGGAACATACTTGGCCCCCAAGGTGCACATTTACTGGAAATCTTTCAATGATTATAAATTATTTGTAACATCTAGAACTGCCATGTTAAGTTACTATATCACATGTCAGCCTGGATCTAAGATTTTACTTATCAAATAAAAATTTCTCTGCAATTACCAAGCTGCAGTGCGTCCAATAAACATTGAAGATGCTACAACACCTGCATAGTATCCTAGAAAGGAAAAAAATAAATGGAAATTGTTATCAAATACTTTTGTTACATTTTACTTTGTAAATGCGGAAATAACTGAATGTTGCTGAGAACTTATGGCTTAGAAAAGTGGACACAATAGTCAGTAAATTTATTATTGAGGCTTCTATTGATTAGCACTGGTATTCAGTGATCCTTTGTGAATTGTCAACTATATAATTTACATATAAATATAAGGAAAGGAATCAACTTGTCCTTGATGTAAATTGGATGGAGCACATGGTAAAGAACAAAATTAATTAAATAGGGATCAAGTCAATTATTTCATAATCAGTAACTATCAAACCATATCATGTAGATCAAACACTTAGAAAAGCAATGACTACGGCCTGTGTCAGCCTGGCATTTCATATCTTAGTAACTAAACAAAAACTTTATGGAAATTATAGAAGGAATTATTGTGTAACCACACCTGTGTCTTCATCTGAAATCCCAAAGCTCTGACAAAAAAAATAAAACAAAAAAAACAGACACATGACAAATCTTTGATTAATGACAATATCTTAGACATCAAGTACAAAACAGACATTTTTCATTGGTGTTTTAAAAACCATGATGAGTTAATTAACTTTTTGTGGGTTCAATAATGAAGCTTCCTTCCCCATAATTATACAGCCTGCGCTGACATATTTCTTAAAATTGAGCATTGATCATAATTTCATCTCACCTTTACCATAGCTGGTAAAAATGGAAACAATATGGTGATGGACATTGCAGAACAAAACTGAAAATAAAACAACATTCATCATAATTGTTTAATTCCTTTTGTGTCAAGAAAATATAATTGTAATTACTTGTATTAATGCACCATAGCACTTCTTATATTATTTGCACCTCGATTTTCCACTTCCTCAAGGGCAAAGCTTATTTGCAAGTGGGGCACATTTAAAAATTGGACATGGCACACAAAATTTTCCCTTTCGTTTTCACCTGAATGGGAATATTATTAATAGTAATTAATTAACAGAAGTGTCTCGATTTTCACCTCTGATCTCTTCTAGCACTTTTCAATTAAATTACAAGTTAAAAGTGTCTTAATTCACTCAATTTGGACCACACTGTTCCCTTCTTGATCTAAGTCAACAACCTCTAACACGGGAGGCTATGCCTCTAACACATAAGAACTTATGTATTGAAAAGAATTCGTATTTGGTTCTCAGCTAAGAATATCTAGCTGCATATAGGTAACATTGCCAGCTTCCCTGAGGTGCTTAAAACAGGGCTGTCCTTCTATGAAACTGTGAATAGCATCATCATTCAAAGCATAAATCAACGAGAGGTTAAGATGCAACTTGTGAAGGAAATATGGATAGCATTTGTGGGTAGCTCAGCCCAAGCATCTAGAATCCATTACAAATTAACTTAACTTGAGGCTAACTCGAGGCTCCGAAATTCCAAGTTTTTTTCAAGTTTCCGTGGCTATTTATTGTACTTTTCTCGATAAGAACTTTGAGCAGCTTATTCTGACTGATATCTGGTTTCTTAAAATGAACTAAGAACAACCTCCAGGCACAATTATGAGATCGAATTTTTTTCAATTTTAATGACTCAGCCAGTGAGCTATATCCCAGGTGACATTCTCCGGAATCCCAAGCTCAGTTTTACAGCGTTTTGTTCAACGCATGCAGTGTTCCAATTTTACAATAATAAAGTTAATTAATGGATCATCCATCAGTCTGCCAAAGTTGCAACAATTCTAGCTGCAACTTCTAGTCTCGCTCTCTTATGTAAATTGATCATCGTGTGCTCCTTCACGTGAATGCTCACGTGCCAATCAGCGACAGTACAACAAAAAAATTTTAAAGCGTTCTCATCTTGATCATCGGCAGTGGCTCTTACGTTCTTTACGTCCGCTCTAGCTTTTGCTTGCGGAATTTATTTCTCCAGCATCGTTTGAGCAATATCAAGGTCTGACAGTTAAAACATCAGCGCTAAACCGAATGAACTAGACCTCAATAACACTGCCCCTTGTCAGACGAACATATTGCATAACCGGAGTAACCTACACAGAAAACTAACTAATACTATACAGAAAACAGTACTGTTTTGCTCTGATGAAGGGCTAAAGCTCGAAACATCAGCTTTGGAAAATCTTTACGGTGGCCAATTTGCAGAATCAACTCAGATGATAAAACCATGTCATCTTGAAATACCCCTACCGACGCAGCACCACTGAGTTTCATTAAAAATTTATCCCCTTATTTGATTAATCTGCGTTAGATCTGTTTTACAGTGCTGGAAATGGCTAACTCCCGCATTGTTTGAGTCTCCTATTGTCTTCTTAAATACACTACGGTAAGCTCTCAGGATAATTATGGAAAATCGCGCGTTGCGATAGAAAAGTTAAAGGAAAAATAAAATAATTACTTACCGAAGATAAGAAAACGATGGAGAATAGTCTCCAATTTAAAGGAGTTGTTCCCGGAGGATAAAATATTCCACGCAAGTGAGACTTAAGGAGATTCATTATGGGTACAACAACAACTTCCTTCCTTAGATTTATCACAACGGCTACAAATGCAAAATAATAACAGCCAGGCTTTTAAGTTATGCCGGGCTTTCGTTACCTGTTCATGTAACATGACGAAAGCGTTACGTAAGTAGAGTTGTTAAGGTCATGTGACAACTTTGCTCTTTTCTCGTCTACAATACTTCTTAATTCCCGCGCCTTTTTCCAATTAAATTTTGTAGAGATGATCAAAATATCATGGGAAATGAGATGAAACGAGGAAAAATACTACAAGAGAAGTTACACTGTCTGATTTCCCATATGAAACCAGGCAAGACAATCTGATGTAATCCAGCACACATATGACACATCATATATTGGTATCACAATTATGACTCAGTATGACTCAGCGATTAAAGTGGTATTTTTTATTCAGTTTTGCGCTGATTCGGCGGATAACAAAGAAACACTTGTGCGGTACCATTTTTTGGGTTGTATGCGAATATTTTCCTCAATTATCTCTCGGTAAGAGAAAGTAAAACATTTCATTACTTTTTCGGTATATACTGCATGGTAGAACAACATATAGTCACTTTGTAAAATGTTTTCATGTAGGCTATATTGTTGTGCCAATTTGTGAAACTGTTATGTAAGACATATGACTGCGTTAACTAGTACAGTGGGTACATCCATCTACACTTTCTACAGTAGGTACAACTATCTGCACTGTCTATACTAAGTACAACTATCTACACTGTCTACAGTAGGTACAATATTCCTCGTGTAGATTGCTTTTGTCAGTTCTTTGCATGATTCATTTCCTTTATTCTTGGCCGGAAACCCTCGATTGCACTCCCAATAAAACAAAGTGGAAAGGGGGAAGTGACACGTCAAGTGGTTTAGTGGAGAAATTTTGGACTTGGGCGAACTGTAATTCCATGAGCTGTAACCCTAACAAACGTAAAGAACTTGTCATAAAGAAGAAATGGAACTCCACATCCTATCCTGTTGTTCGTAATATACCACAACATGCCACTCTTAAGTTATTAGGTCTGACCTTCCAGAATGACTGTAAATTTTTTGCACACATAAAAGCTAAACTGTGCAAGGCCAACAAATGTCTACACGTGCTGAGAGTATGTAGAAAAGAGCGCTACAGCCAGACAGAAATTGATTATCTCTTCTATAGACAGATGCTATAAGTTGCGCTTTATATCTACGCAGTTAAATATTAGATCATTACTAAAAAACCAAGATAAAGCGATTCTTAAAATAGTTCAACAGCGTGATAACCACCCTCTGAAGGTTTGCTTATCGCAAGAAAAGAATAATTTAACCTACAACCTTAGACGTAAAAGCTGCCAATGGCCTAAGA